GGAGTCCTGCTGTAGCTCTGTAGGATCAGCATTGGACTACTAACTGCAAGGCCAGTGGTTCAAACTCACCAGCCGCTCCTCAGAAACCCTGTGCAGGGTCACTATGGGTTGGAATCAACTCAATGGCACTCAACAACAACATACTAAAATGCAATGAATGTAATGTAGCATGGCATTACACTCCTGCTGTGGCACTGTGCTGTGAACCAAAAGGTGGACTGTGAACCACAAGGTGGGCAGTTCAAACCCACTAGCTGCTCCTTGGAAAGCCTATACGGTGCCCTTCAAGGACAAAGCTTCACCTCTGATGAAGTAATGAAGACAGCGGTACATTCATGGCTTGTAGCTCAGCTTAAAACATTTTTTAATAAGGGAATACGAAAGCTTGTTGATAAATGGACAAAGTGTACTGAAAAGCAATGTCGAAAAATAATGTATTTGTCTTTTCTAAAACTTGATTAAAATAAATTCTACAACCAGAGTGTGGATAGTTTTTTGACTCTCAAACCCACCAGCTGCTCCTCGGAAACCCAATACAGGGTCACTACAAGTTGGAATTGACTCAACGGCACACACTTAACAACAATAGCAACATACTCTTTTTTTTGCAACACAAAAGAGATTTATATTTATTGTGTAAATAGTATGCTTATAGCAAACCTACTCGAAGCAGACTGCCCCATCTTTCTCCTGCAGACCAGCTGGCGGATTCAAACTGCTGACCTTTAGTTAACAGTTGGCACTTATCCATTGTGATACCAGGGCTCCATAATAGTGTGTTACTGATGTCACATTGTTATTGTTGTTGTTAAGTGCTGTCAAGTTGGTTCCGACCTATAGTGGTGACCCTATATAGGATTTCCGAGGAGTGGCTGGTGAGCTTGAACCTCTGGCCTTGAGGTTCAAATGACTCTGCAGTCCAGTGCATTAACCCACAGCGCCATACCAGGACTCCTGATATCACATGGATAGTTCAAAATCAGCATGAGAATATGGTGGTGGTTATGTGTTGTGGAGTTGGTTCCAATTCATAGCAACCCTGTCTAGGGCTTCCGAGGCTGTAAATCTTTACCGGAGCAGAAAGCCTTATCCTTCTGTAAAAACTGCTGACCTTGAGTTTAGCAGTTCCACCCTTAACCACTTACGCTACCAGAGCTCCTTTTGAGAATATTTATACTATGGAAACTGACTAACACTACAAATCAGAAATTTTCTCCTCCAGAACCAATTGTGAAACACTTACTAGCATTTCACTGTGTTCAGAGCTGGCTTCTAAGTGGTGCAAACAGTTAATGTGCTCAGCTGCTCTCCAAAATGTTAGAGGTTCCAGTCCACTCAGAGGTGCCTTGAAAAAAAGGCCTGGTGATTTACGTCTGATAATCAGCCATCAAAACCCTTATAAAGCACAGTTTTACTCTGACACACACAACGCCATGAGATGCACTGACAGCAGCTGATTTACTGGCTGAATGGTCCCTCCTCGGCTCTAAGAAGTGGTGGCGGGCGCCCCCTGCTGGCTGCGCCCGACACCCATCATCCTGTGTGTGCCTCCAAGTCAGTTCTGACTCAGAGCGACCCCATCTGACAGAGTAGAACTGCTTCCTAAGGTTTTCTAGGCCGAACTCTTCACAGAAGCAGATTGCCACGTCTTTCTCAAGTGGAACGGTTAGGTGGGTTTTAATTGCCAACCTACCTCCCCCCAGTAGATGCCTGGAAAGCCAGGCCAGCACAGTCCTCAAATGGGGACACTCCTGATCCTGCACAGAGGATAAGGGGATAAGACACCTGGGGACCTGCCCCCAAGCCCTTCACCTTCTGGGTCCCCAGTCCTATGCTGTGGGGTTCTTCAGCTCCCCCTCCCTGATTTTCCTGTCTCCTCTTAGAGGTGGGGATGACCCACGTTCCTCCTGACCCATTAGCCTGTCTTCTCCAGGGTTGGCTGCCTAGCACCCCTCCAACACCACCTCCCTCCGCAACAAAGCTCCCTAAATGCCATTTCCTCACCCCACCCCTGCTGTGTCTCCTAGGCCGCCTGCCATGCTTGCTCTTTGCCTAAGTCTCTCGGATCCTCTGCCATCCACTCCCGACCCCACCCTCTGTCTGAAGTCTCTCTTTCCCCCCTGCACCTGAAGTGGGAGGGGTCCTCGCCTTGCATTCCCAAAGAAGCCTCTGGAAGTTGTTTAGAAATTTTACCAGGGAAAGGAGGCACTCCCCCCAGATGAATTTTATTCCTCTCTGAGAAGGCAGAAGAGTTGCATTTTAACCCTGTGATGCCCAGGCGGCGGCGCTGTGGTAAAAAGGCTCAGCTGCTAACTGAAACATTGGCGGTTCAAACCTACCAGCTGCTCCTTGGGGAGAAAATGTGACACACTGTCCTCATAAAGGTCACATTCTTGGGAACCCTATGGAGCAGTTCTACTTGCTGTTCTACAGGCTTGCTACGAATTGGAATCAACTCAGTAGCGACAGGGTTTCTCCTTTTACCAATATGAAAATGTCTAGAAGGTGTTTGGAGGCAGAGGTTGCATAGTTTGAACCCCAGCTCTGTCACTGACCATGATCTAGTTGCTCTGCCTTTCTAAGTCTTGGTTTTCTATGTACAGCCACTTCAGAGGGCTGATGTGTGTCTTGAGTGAGAAATGCATGCACTCTCCAGCAGGTGGTGTGTGTTGCCAGTCTTCCTGCTTTGCCCTGTGTTGAGTTTCCTGGGACATGCAACTTTTAGGGCTAAACTCCTGAAAATCCCAGTTATACTAGAATGGCTGGTCACCCTATTTTCAAGTCAGGGATCTACAAAGTGACAGAGCCTAACCTGGTCCACCATCTATTTTGTTTTGTTTTGTTTTAAACTTTTTATTCTAAATAGAGTGAAGGTTTACAGACAAGACCATCAGTTTTACATTCAACAAATCACATACTTTGTTTCATCTCAATGATTGCAATCCACTCCCTGCAACCACAGTTATCCCACGTCCTCCTTGTGGTTCTGATGGCCTTCCTATTCCTTCTCAACTTTGTCCTTAGACATATGTTGCCCCTTTGACTATTCCATGGTGAGCATACCTTGCTAGTGTTGCCCTCCTCTAAACCTATCTATTGTTTGGGTGAATTCCTTTCCAGAGCTGAAGGCTAGTTGAGGGTCATAGTCTCAAGTTCCTCCAGTCTCTTTCTGATCAGTAAGCCTGTTTTTTGTTTTGCTGTATTTTTAAATAATTTTTAGCTTTGCTCCACATTTATTTTCTCCTACTCTATCCAGGGCCCTCTACTGTGATTCCTTTCAGGACGGTTGGTAGTAATAAGTGATAGCCAGGGACTGACTCATTCTGGTCTCAGAATTGTGGAGACTAATGTTCACATGCTCCATTAGTCCACTAGACTAGTTGATTTCACCACCTGCTTGTAAATAAAGTTTTACTGAAACACAGCCATGCCCATCCATTTACTTATCATCTATGCTGTTTTGGAGTCCTGGTGTGGCACTGTGGATTAATGTGCTGGACTGCAAAGTCCATTTGAATGTATGGTCGGCGGGTCAAGCTCACCAGGTGCTCCTTGTAAACCCTATACAGGGTCGCTATGGGTTGGAACCGACTCGACAGCACTTCACAACAAGGTTGCTTTTACAGTCTAACCACATAACTGAACCCTTTCAACAAAGCCTATAAAGCCCCAGAACCCCTTGCCTTTATACCCTTTCCAACTCATTGCAGCATCATGGTTTACAGAGCGTTTCCTTCTGTCAGCTTCACAGAAGCAGACCATCAAACCTTCCTTCTGCTCTGATGCTGGTTAGGTTCACACTGCACTCCCTCAGGCTAGTAGTCGAGTACAAACTGTTCAAAATGTTTATCTTCTGGCCCTTTAAGAAAAAGTTTGGCCATCCCTAACTTTAAGTGACAGCTATTTCATCTGCTCAGGTGCTAACCAAAGGTTGGAGGTTTGAGTCCTCTCAGAAATACTTTGAAAGAAAGCCCTGGTGATCTTCCATTCAAAACCCTATGGAGCACAGTTCTCTACTCAGACACACGAGATTGTCATGAATCAGAGCCCACAGGTTAGTGGTTCATTGCTCCTATAAGTTGCACAAAAGCCTTGATTGTTCCAGCCCTGCTAGAGGGAGCAGTTGCTGTTGGGTGTTGGGGGTACCGAATAGAGTGGTCAGGGTGGTCTTCTGGGGAGGAGGGTGTTGACATTCAGGAGAGTTATTTCTGTGATTTGAGGAAACAAATTCTGTAAAACTGGGCCATAGAAAAAGTGGAATAAAGGGTCTAGGGGCCAGCCCTTTCTCCCCACACCCCCTGTCCTCAACCCCTAAGATGTCACCATCACCCAAGAAGCAATAGTGACTTCCTGAGAGGGTGGAGGCTGAGGAGTGCAGATTCAGCAGAAGGATGCCTAAAGGAGACCGTCTTGCCACAATGAAGGATTCAGCCATCTTTGTTCATTAGACTTTTATTGAGTATCTATTCTGTACCAAGCCCTGGGCTGAACAGTGGGAAACTTCAGTATGACAGACCCCTTCCTGAAAAGTGGCCACAGGGAAGGCCAGAGAGGACAGGACAAGGGTCACTCTGTCACCAGGTGAAGCTCATTGCACCAGCAAGCCCACCCTGGCCCTCAAGACAACCCAGTCTGACCAAATCGGAAATGGGCTCAGGCTCCTGGCACGCCTCAGTAACCCCTCCCACAAATACATGTTTCTGTTTAGGTGACCCGGCCAACTACAAGCAAAATGGCAATGGGGTAGGGGGTCTCTGAGTCTTCTGGGCTTGAAGGGAGGAGGAATTGAGGGGCCCAGACAATGGGGCTGGGACTGGGGAGAACCTCTGAAGGAGGTGGGGGCTACAGACCCAGGGGGAGGTTCATTTCCAGGTCCTGCTTGACTTTTGGGGCTTGGCTGCTCATGATCCCTCGTGGGGCTCACTGCCCCTTCCCAGAATGTCCCCAACCTCAGGTGGCTCTGAGAAAGCCAGACCTGCAGAAAAGAAGTCTGGGTGGCACTAAGGGAGGAAGCTGCGTAAGGTTAGGTCATCCCCATCATGTGACTCCCTAGGCTCCTCAGGCTTCTGGCCCTGGCTCTTGGCATTGGGGGGACCGCCATTGGCTGCTGAGGTGTTGGGCCCCTCTCCTCCTTCAGGCAGCAGGGAGGAGATGCAGACCATCTCAGTGGGGGAGTAGCTGCGGATGGGGTACATGTGGTTCTTGCGTGAGAGGCGAACAGCCAGCACCACGGTGCACACGAGGAAGATAGTGGCCACCAGGGCCAAGATTAGGATGGCCAGCAGGCATTGTTTCACGGGGATGCTGTCTGGGATTCCTGTGGGGCTGGGGGTCGCGGAGCTCCTGGGGCTCAGGCCCTGCTTGTTCTCCCATTGCCTGATGCTGACAGCAAATGACTGTCTGGCGGCCATGGTGGTCTTGCTTTGAGGAGCGGCGGCCACAGGAAGGGAGGTTGTCACCGGAGCCCTTGTGTTAGCAGATTGTGTGGCCGTTGTGGCTACTGGCTCCATGGACCCTGAAGCTGTGGATTCTGTGGAGGAGGCTTCCCTCGCTACAGGCAGGGTGGGCAGGGTCTCCGTGGTGGCTGGTTCTGTGGTGGCTGGTTCAGAGGTGGCTGACTCTGTGGTGACCAGGACCATGGTGGTCGGGGCTCCTGTGGCAGCTGGCGTTGTGGGGAGGGCCTCTGTGGTTTCCAGCCCTGAGGGCAGTGTGGACAAAGTCGCCCTGATGACAGGCCCCATGGGTGGGGTGTCTGAGGTGGGAAGGATGGCAGGGGTCTGTGTATCAGGACTCCCCTGATCAGCCAGTCCTGTGCTCAGACCAGCAGGGTCTCTTGTGATCAGTTCCACAGACGTTGCATCAGAGGTTCCAGGTCCTGCAGGACCACTCTGCTCCGATGTCCCCACCAAGGTCAGAGGCTTGGGGCTGAGGGTCTCAGCCAAGGAGCTCTCTTCCAGCATTTCTGGGGGGTCCGTACCTTCCTGGACATAGTCGACATCCTCGTCAAAGTCTGGGTCCTCGGTCAAGGGCACCTGCCTCCGGCCCCGGGCAAGCAGCAGACTCAAGGTCTCCTTGGCTCCGTCCTCCCACACCACTGGAGACCAGACGCTGCTGCCAAGGCCCAGGAGGGTCACCAGTAGGAGCAGTTGCAGAGGCATGGCACCTGGGGGAACAGGGACAGAGGATTCAGGCCACTCAGGGCTCTCGGCTGTCATGCTGCCTGGCTGATTGTGGGCCTGTGGCTTTTGCCATCCTCACCAGCTGGCCCCAATGCCTGGTGCATTGTGGGCTTTTGACAAATAGCAGCTATTATTATTATTTACTAATATTAATAAGGAGTTTTGATGTAGTGCTGTAGGATAAGCACTGGACTGCTAACCGCAAGGTCGGTGATTCAAACCCATCAGCCACTCCTTATACACGTTCGCTATGACTTGACGGCACCTAACAATGGCAACATTAGTAAAATCACCTGTGGCAGGATTTGGGGACCTAGGTGGAAGGGGAGCCGAATACACATAGGAAGGACCATGAAGGTCATGTCATCCAGAGGGGTCAACTCCATGCCAGTATTTACTATGCACCAGGCTGGGCAAAGGGTGAGAACACAGGTTCTGGGCCACACAGAAGCAGGTTAGAGTACCTGCTCTGTCCTTCACAAGCTGTCTGAGCCTTGTTTTTTTCATCCGTAAAATGGGGATAACAAACAGAGCCAAAGCAGAGGGCCAGTGAGAACGAGGGGCCCCATCAGTGAGACAAATGGGCACAGCTGTCACAACTGTGCACTCAAATACAATCATGAAGATGACACAAGGCTGGACAGCATTGTGTTCCGTTGTACATGAAGCTGGTCACCAGGAGCCGGCGCCAATTCTACAACTATGGACACCAGCCCCCATCTCACAGGCTATGAGAGGGGGCAGGGAGATGATGGATTCAAAAGTTCCACCAAATCAAAGGCAAATCCTTTGCCATCAAGTTGACTGTATCCAATGGCAACCCCGAGAGTCACAGAGTAGATGTGATTTTCAGAAGCAGGTCACCTTCAGACCTTTCCTTCTTGGTGTTGCTGGGTGGGTTCAAAACACCAGCCTTTAGGTCATCAGTTAAGCACAAACTGTTTGCTCCAGCAGGGTCACCCACCCACCCACTGCCAAGGAACCAATTCTGACTCACAGCGACCCTCTGACATGTTACTGGGTCGTAAATAAAGCTTTATGGTAGCAGAAAGCTTCCTTCTTCTCCCAGGGAGTGGCGGATGGGTTTGAACCACTCACCTTGTGGTTAGCAGTCCAATGAGTGAGTCACCAGGGCTCCTTTCCAGGGTAAGAGTCAGGGCTGGATAAATGTGTCACACACACGCCTGCACACACACATTTTGCCTCCCAACCAGCCTGGAGAGCAGCAGTTTCTTCACACATAGGGTGACTTCCTGTTTGGGAGGAAGAGTAGATGACCCAACCTTGGCTCTACTTTCCTGGGGGTGGGGGCCCTCAGAAGAAGCCGCCACCAGTACAGAGACATCATTTCATAATTGTGACAAGAGGCACACCGGCCACCCCCACTCAGGCAGCTGTTGGTTCCTGGAAGGCAGAGCCATCAGTCACTTCCTGGAAACAGAGAGGGAGGAGACAAAACCTAGGGCCCACTTGCCTTAGCAAGTCAGGGCCTGGCCTTCTGCAGCCTGGGTTCTGGAGGATACTGGAGAGGGCTGGGACCTCAATGTGCACCTGCACCCGTTTGCACGCCTCCCTGCCTCCACCTTCATAAGCCCTGCACACACACACACACACACACACACACACACACACACAGTCTGGAGGCACCAACACACCACAGGCCTGATGCCTGTGTTCAGCCCCACTTAGCAGCTGAGCCTCTGTGTCCTCATCTGTAAAATGGAGCAATAATCCTTCAAAGGACAGTTGTGAGGATTACATGCGATGATACACAAGAGCTAAATGGCACCTGTTGGTGGGCATCTTTTCTTTGAGAGGCTCTCTTGAGGTTGCAGATAGAGGGACAGACCTGGAAATCAGGGAGGATGTGAACAAGACAACCTCCTGACATGCCTCGTGGAACACTCAGAGGAGCGCAATAGGGCCCTGTGGAGTGCTGACATGAGCTGAGTCCCTGGGTGTAGTGAATGATTTAATATGTCTTTTCTAGGCTTAGTCTTTGTAATTCCCACCAGACAAGTGTTTTCCCGATGGGTCTGAGTAAGAGAAAGTGGGAGAAAATACTGTTAGGGTGATCTGATTCAGCTGTGAATGATTAGTGTTGTTAAGTGCCATCGAGTCAGTTCTGACTCATAGCAACCCTGTATAGGGTTTCCGAGGAGTGGCTGGTGGGTTTTACCACTGACTGTTTGTTGTTGGCTGTCCAGTGTTTATTCTACAGCACCACACCACAATGATTGGTAGCTGAGTTCACTGAGATTGTGAAAACTCAGAACTCTAACATGGGTATAGAATGAGACCTCTTAGAAACAGGTGGAGGTCTCGCTACCATCAAGAAGAGCCAGGATACAGCGTGTCCTTTGGACCCTGAGATCCCTACACATTGAACATCCTAGACCCAGGGACAGAAAGCTGGGACACTGGAGGAGAGGCAGAAGAGCAGCAGCAGGACCAAGAGTCAGAGCACCAGACAGAGCAGTGAGCTTCCCAGCCCAGGGAGCAATTCAAGCTGAGTGATTCTGGGCCCGAGACTTGCATGCAGAGTGGGGAGTTTTCAGGCACTTAACTGAGGGAGTTAGGATTGCTGACTCTCAGAACTAGAGTGTCTTGAGGCTGAGGTTTATGGTGGATGGGTGTGTCCCGTGAACATTTATCAACAGCCCTAAAACAGCTTTGTAACATTGCAGGAGCAAGGCAGAGGCCAGGCCGTGGTGGGGCTGAGGGCCAGAGAGAGGCCTGCCTCTGGGCACAGCTGAGGACAGGCTGTCTGTCCTGACCGGAACAACTGGGCCCTGAGCATTTCTGACCCTGCATTGTAACCTGTTTAAGTTTCCTAACCAACCCCCTAACTGTGAATATGGAGTCTGCGTTCCGTGTGGCCACTGCAGTGAATTCTTGGACCCTGTTGAGAAGCAGAGAATGCCAAGGGAGGGAAGGTTGCCCGTAAGTCCATTCTGACTTATGGTGACAGCACATGTAACAACAGACTCTATTCCATAGAATTTTCTTGGCTGCGATCTTAAAGGTGACATGTCACCAGGTCTTTCTTACATGGTGCAATTGGGTGTGTTCAAACCACCAACCTTAAAGTCAGTAGTTGGGTGAAAACCACTTAACCATCCAGAGACTTCTGGAAACCACTAGGAAACCCAAGTTTCCAGGTCCCTTCCTGGATCTGGTGTAGGGTGACCAATTCTTCCCAGTTTGCCTGGGACATTCTTGTTTTTGTTTTTTTTTAAGGTTTTTATTGTGGATTGAGTGAAAGTTTACAGGGCATCAGTTTTACATTCAACAAATCATACACCTTGTTTCATTACAGTGATTATAATCCTCTCCATATACCATCAGTTAACAGTATTTCTCTATATTCACTTTACCTTTCTTTTAAAAAACAAAAACAAAAACCACTCAGCCATGTACAATAATATACACCTGCAAAGGGCACATTCTGCAAGTCTGCCTCCTAGTCATCAGCTTAGTCCCTCTCTTCCCATAAATCTAGAGTCCTCAGCCACTCCCTCTCTCCACGTCCCCATCTCTGCCTCTGACTCTGACGTTACTGCTTCTCTAGATAAGGTCCCTCATTCGGCTTGTGCTCTTTTCCCTTGATGGTCCTAGGGTCCTCTGTTTCTGGACTGTAAGATTAACCACTCCCCTGTTTTTGCTACAAAACTTCTACCTTTACAATTGTGAGAGTCACAATTAGTCATGATAACAATTACTCATTATTGAATCCTAAGAATCTAATCCCCATCTCCTTTCACCAGACCCATCTAGACAAGATGAAAACTATTCAATAGGGACTCTTTCTCCCCTCCCACACCCATCCCCCACACACTCTTAAACTAAACTCCCTCTTGAACCCTTGAAAGCCAGTCACTTCGTGCCTTTATTGCCCCCTCTTTTAGGTAGCCAATGTCTAAGTTGCCCGTCCCTATCTACCCTGTGTACAGAGGGGATAGCATTGATACTTTATGTGAAGACACCTTCCCTCTCTGTTGGTATTTAGAGTTACTACCTCCATGAGTATAGGTCAGGTTCATCAAATTGAAGCAATTTACCCTTGTTTCCTTTATCAAAAAAAAAATATATATACATATTTTTTTAATCTTCCTCTAGTCGGGTTCTGAATATCAAGCCATCAAGGCTAGGTCAAACGGCTACTATCTGCAAGTTTGGGTGTTCCTGTGCACCTCCCCTCACTTCATATCACCTGGATGCTTCACTCTCAGCTCCAGCCCTCTGTGGATATGTCCTAGTCTGTGGACCCAAGTGTCCTCAGGTCTTAGCACACTTTGGGCCAAGCAGCCCCTCTTCTCTTTCTCATCTCCACATCAACGGGATTCCATGGACTAGGGTTGAACTCAACCCATCTCTTATTGCTGCCTTTCCCCCTCTTCCACTCACCAGTAGACCAATGTGGTTGCCAGCAAGTGTACATGCTTGTTTGTGTATTCCCTTTGAGTTTCGGTCTTAGAGGGGAGTTTGTCCTGAAGGCACTTGATTGCTAGCCTTGATGGCTTCCTGGCAAACATCTTGCTTATTCTTGTAGTAGCCAGTCATGCTGACATTTTTGTTTTGGGTTTTTCCTGATGATCTTTCTTTGAAGATATATCTTCTGTTGCTCTAGCTGTTCCTGCCTGGTCTGCTTGTCCTTGCTAGTAGGAATGTCCCACCTCATAAGGTTCTGTATGGGACTCAGGATTCCACCTAAGGTCCTATATTCTGCAAAGGCTCTGTAAGAGGCCTGTTTCACTGGTCAAGTTCTAGAACCCCCTTTAGGTATTCCAATCAGTTATAAACTGAAGACGGGCTTACAAGTTTTCTGTAATCATGTTTCCCAACATTCCTTTCTATCCCACTCAAGTGTCTATTTTACAATAGTAGGCAAGGGAAACCAATATTCATAAGACAGTCAAGCATTTTAGTATTATTTCCCCTCTTCAAACTATGCCTAGATCCCTGTATCCCAGAGCCCT